TATTCACAAATCAATTCTTCTCATTCCTTGAAGATTTTAGTTCTAGATCATGATCTCTATTCCTAATACTATTATCATTATTGCTGTTAAGTAAAAAAAAAAAAAAGTGTTGATATATTCTGCCATATCTTCCTTTGTTATAGGTGAAATATCCCTATTCATAAAAAATGTCAACCCTTCCACTTGTGAATTAGGTCCCATGATCTCTCATCTACCCAAAGACATCATGCTAACACTTCCTGGGCATTACCAGGTTTTCTTTCTCTCTTGGATCTTTCTCATCAGCACTAAAGCATGCTGTTAATTTCCCTCATCTTAAAAGCCCCTCTATTCACTTCATTTATCCTTCCAGTTACCATACTATTTCTCTTACAGTGAGATCACATTTTGGAGGGGTTAAACATCCAACTTATAAAGTTAGAAAAAGAAAAAATAGAAATATCAAAAAGAGTAGGAGGAAGAAATTGTGAATATAAAACAAAATAATACAGTAGAAAACAACAATACAACTGAAAGGAACGAAGAAACCAAAAACTGATTCTTTCACAATATCAATATAACTGACAAACTGCTGGCAAGATTGATAAAAAAAAAAAAAAAAAGGAAGTTAAAAACAAGCCATGTTAGCAATAAAAAGGAATAACAGTTGCTGAAGATAATAAAAGAAATATTGAGAAAACTAAATGACAATAAATTGGACGAAATGTGAAAAAATCCTAGAAAAGGTGAAGCTAAATCTGACTTAAGAAGAAATAGAAAACTTGAATAGCCCTATAACTATTAAAGAATGTTAATATGTGGTTTAAAATTATCCCATGAAAAAACCACCAGACCTAGATAGTTTTAACAGGTGAAATTCTATATTACACTCTAGGAAAAGGCAATTCCAATTTTATTTAAAAAGTTTCCCCCAAATACAGAATGAAGAACACTACCCAACTTACTCCTTTGGACAATTATAGCCTTAACAAAAAATGACAAGCGTAACTCAAGAGATAATTATGGGTCAATCTTATTTATGAACACAGATATCAAATATGTAAACAAATAAGCCAACTGGATTCACAATGTATAACATAACTCAGTGTATATTTTTCAAAAATGCAAATTTGGCCTAAGATTTTAAAATTTATGTAGATGCAAAGCAATTTCAATAAATATCATAAGAGGTTTTACTTGTGGAACTTGATAAGCTAATCCTAATACTTATATGGAAGGCTGGAAGTCCTAGAAAAGCCAAAGCACCTCTGAATATGTCTTATCAAATGTCAGGTTGTATTACGTTAAAGCTGTAGTAATTATGTCAGTGCAATACAAGGAGAGACAAATTGAAGACTGGAATAGGACAACCAAAAACTAGTCCCATTCATAGATGGCAATTTGGTTTATGCCAGCATTATAGATTAGTGGGGAGGATGGGCTTTTCATTAAATAGTGCTTTGATAATTGATTATCCAGATCAGAAAAAAAAGGACATCTACTACTGTATTTAAAAAATTAGTTCCACCATTAGAAAAATTTAAAGTCAATTATATCAATGATAACACAATGCCATTATATTATATAATAATTTTATGATAAATGGAGAAGGCAAAAATTCCAGGGGAATGAAAATGTTACATGAGTAGATAGTTGATTTCTCTAAAGGAGACGGTTTCAAGTTAAAGGTGATTCTGTTAGGGGAACTAGAAGTAAGGATAATGTCTCATGCTAGTGAAATATTCAGGTAAGGAACACAAGAGAAGAAAATAGAACCATAGCAACTCAGATGCAGGAAAACATAAATATCAGGAGGGGAAATGTTAACCATAGTGGTGACCTAAAGTATTTGAAGGGTGAATAGATTTGGGCTTATCTAGCAATACTGTTCTCTATGCAGCTTGGCTTCAGGTATTCATAGGGAAGTTCGAACTGCTCATTCCAGGATACGATTTCCCTTTCCACGTTGTCTAGATCTATCTGAAATTGTTTTAAAACAACCTTGGGCTTGGGACCTGAGAAATCTTCTTTGTAATGCCCCAGGGGTACCTGAAACAGAAAGAAAGAACCAATTAGCTTCTAGTTCTAAGAAACAGGGACTCAAACTCCAGACCCTCACCTTAATATCTCCTCTCTAGTCCTCAGTTTTCTCAGAGTTTCAGAGGTCCCCTCTTGCCAGTCTGGCTGCTGCCAGCTCAGGAACCTTGTGATGGTCATTTGAAGACAGGTCCGCCAGACATTAGGTAGTGAATCCATCACTGCGGCCATTGTCACATCTTCCTTAGTGGTGTGTGGAGGCATCTGCATTGAGTATGGGGCATTAGGGACCCAGGTATTGGGGGAAGAAAAATCTGGAGTCATTCAGAAACTCTGATTCAGGACCCTAGCTCCCAATTCTCTCCCTCAAGAATCCCCTAACCCAGATGCTTTCTATCAGAGACCCAGGCTTTTAATTGTCCATACCTGGCCCCAATTGATGGTCATATGCTGGGCAGTGCATGTGAAAATGCACATGGTAAGGAAATGACAGAGCTGAGCCCAAGACTGGAAGAACACAAGGAAACCTAGGGAAAAGAACAAAGTTTATAAACTAAAGTTCCAAAGGAGATAAGGAAATAAATGTTGATGTTTTGGCATGTCCATATCTTAGAATTGGCGAGTATTCATTTATTTAAAAAGTATTGAACTACTATGTACCAGACACTGCCTAGGCATTGGGGATACATTGGTGGGCAAAACAAACAAGACCCAGCCTGTTTTGTTTCTAATAGAGAAGAATGATAATAAACAGAATAACTAAGTAAAATGACACACAGTATGTTAGATACTAATATGAATAAAAGTAAATCAGGGAAAGGGGACATGAGAAATCAAGGAGAGGTGGTTGATAGTTTAGTCAAGGGATCAGTCCTGGCTCTGCTGGTGACCAGCTGTGTAACTTTAGACCAGTTGCTTAGCCTCTCTGAGCCTATTTATTTTCCCTGAAAATCAAGATAATAATAATTATCTTATAAAGGAGATGGCCCATGTAAAGTCCCTCAGTGCATTGCAGCTATGATTATAAAGGTAAGGTGGAGAGTGGGGAGGTCTGAGAGGCTGATTGGTCAAATATCCAGTCTTCAAAAAAAGGTTAAAAATCATAGGATAAAGGCAGACAACCCAAAAGTAAAATGGGCAAAAGACTTTAACAGTCTCCTCACAAAGGAGGATATCCATATGGCTACTAAACCTAGGAAAAGTTACTCAGTTCCACTAGTCGCTGAGAGAATACAACAAACTTACAATGGGATAACATTTTTTACCAATATGACTAAGTGAAAAAGTATCTTTCTCAAATATTTGAGAAGATATGGAGTAACTATAACTCATACTCTGTTGGAGAGAGTGTAAATTTATTCAACCACTTTGGAAAACTTTCAGAAACTACTAAAAACTGAAATTCACATAACATATGATTCATCAATTTCACTTCTAGGTACATACCCAACAGAAATGTAAACACGACAATGTTCACAGCAGCACTGACTTTAATAGTCTCAAACTGGAAGCAACCTAAATACCCATCAAGAGCAGAAAGGAAGAAATATCTGTGTCAGAGTCACAAAATAGAATAGTATACAACAAGAATAATAAACTACAAGCTACATGTAACAACAGCATGACGTGGAGTGCAGACATTAGTGAGTGCATGTTTGTATTTCCATTTATGTAAAGTTCAAGCAGGTAAAACCAACCTATGCAGTAAGAAATCAGGATAGTGTTTATCTTTGCATGGACAAGGACTGGAATAAAATACAAAAGGCTTTCTAGGGAGCTGGTAATGTTATGTTTTTGATCTTTGTGATAATTATACAGATATGTGACCTTACTAAAAATCCAAGTTGTATGCCTATGATTTATAACATTAACTTTTCTCTAGCCTCGTTTTATTTTATAAGATTCTCACCCTTCCCAAAAGTGGTGAAGAATACTGAGGTTGCCCTCCTGTTCCCAGACTGCTGTTTCAGGTATCTGGGTTATAACACATGAAAAAGAGAGGTAAGTCATAGACTCATGTTGGAGCTGGAAGGACTTCAAATCGACTGTCCCATTTTATTCAATTTACAATTGAGGTGGGGTTCAGGAAATTTCATGGCCTGCTCAAGGTCATTTACTACATGGAAGGGCCTAGATTCACCTATCATACTTGCTGAACATGTAGGGGAGATAATTTTTGGAGTGGAGCATATGATCACAATCATCTAATATTGATTACACATGTTTCAACTTCGTCATATTCATTATTTCATTTGGAACACATATTATATTCACTTTAGAGAAGGATATTAAAAGTTAAAGAGATTAAATGACTTTCTCAAGGTCATAGGTCTGAGATGAGAAAATTTTAGCACACTGCCTTTAATGAGGGTGATGAAAGAATGATAATACAAAATAAAACTGTAAAAGCTGAGGGAGAACAATGGGGGTTTGAGAGGTTAAAGCTCATATTCAAATAAGCATTCTAAATGCTCATTTGTTATAAATAAATGGATATTTCACAGGAAGAAGCAGAAAGAGAGAATAAGATGGGTCTTTAGGAGCATGTGGAGCCTAATGAACAGAACTGAGAAGTATTACAGAAATTTTGGTCCTGGAAGGGCTGATGAGGTGGTGTTGAATAGATGAGAAAGGTACAGCCTAAGATACTTCAAGATAAGACTCCACTCCATGGTAGGTAGGGGTGTGGTTTACTGATGTGAGCCTGGCCATAATAGCTTTTAGCTAAAGCCTGTAGTTTGTCCCACAGAGGGAAAGGATGAGATTCAAAGTGCTGGTGTGAAGTGTGAAGGAGAAAGAAGCTGAAGGATGATTCGAAACAGTCCCAGCTGGCCTATGTGTGCTAGAGAGAGGACTATGAATCTAGGAAGCACCCAAGAAAGGTTATTTCTTCATTATGAATGAAAACATGGGATAGAGGAACTGAGATAGTGGCTAGATCCTAGCAAGGAGAACCAGGGCACTGATTTCAGGTTTGAGTCAAAATATGTACAGTATTGAGATTGCATCTAGAAATGACCTCGCTCTGAGGCAAGTATATAGTATGTCTGGACCCTCTATGTGTGTTGGACAATAGAAGGAAGGAGGAGAAGGGAGTGAAAGCCAGGGTGGGATGCCAGGAGCTTTGATGGGAATAATGTCCCCATTTACATCCTTAGGTTAAAAAAAAAAATTGACAACCATGAGGAGAGAGCCCAATAGGGCCTGGGAAAAGCCCTCACTGCCTGTTATTCTGGCTTTATTGGAGCCCATGCTATGACAGGTTGGAGGATTCTGTGACTACGCTTGGGGGATGAATCTGGAGTAGATGACCAAGGTCTCTAAAGAAGATAATCTTTGGGTTTCTAGAATTGTCTTGAACCTTAAGAGGTGGGAATGGAATTCAGATGTTTCATGTGTGGAAGAAGAAGGAGTGACAAAGGGTTAGGATCATGTCCCCAGAAGGGCAAGGCTGAGAAGGGGCTCTGAGCAGAGTGTCTGAGGTACTCCCTTCTCTGGGGAGGGAATCTCACCTCAGTCCTAGGCCTGGAAGAACCTCACCTCTGTGATCTCCTGACACCAGGCCTATAGCTCAAGGTCCCCTCTCACAACATCATCCCTGTGGTAGAACAGGTGGACGATCCCCTCCACATACCTGCCCAGAGGAGAAGAGAGCTGAGCCCCTTGAGAGTAGAAGGCTCTAGCCTCTGATCTCTACTCCTTTTCTGTGGCCTCCTCCCAGCTGATTCTCACTGTCCTGGAGGCAGATCTTATAAGACTTGTGTTTTGAGACATCCCCTCATTCTTTCGAAACACTGGTTTAGAAAGGAAAGAAACGTATATCAGTTTTAAGAATTCTGTACACATGGTTGATAGTCATTCTTCTTACCAAAATCCCTAATTCCACCAGATTCCATCGTTTTACCCGCTCACAACTTTGCCTACTTAACACTATTGCAGTCTCTCCATCTTTGGACCCTACCACCGACCTCTCACTCTTCCTCCTCTCTCCCAGAATTGAGTCCTCTGCTTTCCCTGTCTAGACTTTCTTGTTTCATATTCCTTTTGCCCCATGCTGACCTCAGGCCAGAGCCCCACTCTCCCTCTCCCCAATGACACTGCATTTCTCAGCTCCCACTCTCACCCACCCAGCAGTAACCTCCCAGAGCCATAAAGCATGTGAGCATAGAGAGCACTTGAGATTCACAGCAGGCCCCAGTTAGCAAGATCATTAGGAGGACAGAGGGAGTGGTAGGTCAACTGAGCTGTGACCAGAGTAACTGCACGTGGCCCCCTCCACCTCTGCTCACTGCCTGGGACAAGAAAGATGAAAGTCTTTGAGGGGAGAAACAACTGGAGAACATGGCATACTATATAAGGGGTCAGATGTGAGCTTTTCAGATTTAATGACATTGGTATAAAGGGACAATGCTCCTGGGTTTCAGGATCAGGACATTCACACAGGTTGGTCTGGGATCTTGAAAGTGACAGGAGGTCACGGGGACTTTGATGATTTGGTGTCCCCATACCTCATTACCTCGTTACCTTATTAAATATATCTTCATCTGAGATGAGCTGGGTCTGTGCCAGGGTGTTGATCTTCATGGTTAAGCAGATGTGTGGAATCAGGAGCTTAATGAAGATTAGGGGGTGGTTAATGAAGACCATGCTTGGGTCCTTCTTTATTAGGGAGTGGCATCCAGCTTGTGTTTTTTACCTGGACTGCTAGAAGAGGTTGAAGTTTATTGACTTCAGGCCATTCTCTCTGTTTCACTTGGAGCCTCCAGGGTTCAAGGAGCAATGGAAGTGCTTGTTCAAATGCACAGCTGCTATTTCAAGCTTCTCAAAATTCAGACCTGTTTTGTTTCCTATTCTGTGATAAACCAATTCCTAGAAGAGTAATATGAAAATATACAGTAATATATTCCTGTACCACCCAACTTACAATCATGAAATAATTGCTCTGATGCTGATATATTTCACAAAGTCTGAGTCGTTATGTTGTAACATGTTTTTAAAATAAATATAATACACCAGGAGGATCTTTTAAAATTGGCAAACATGAACCTGATTCACAATTCTGAAATCTGAGTGTCTTGTCATACAGATGGCCAATAGACATAAGAAAAGATGCTCAACATCACTAATCATCAGAGAAATGCAAATTAAAAGTACAATGAGATATCAACTCACACTTGTCAGAATGGCTATCACCGACAAATCAATAAGCAACTAGTGTTGGTGAGGATGTAGAGAAAAGAAAACCCTGTGCACTGTTAGTGGGATTGCAAATTGGTACAGCCACTATGGAAAACAGTATGGCGGTTTTCAAAAAGATTAAAGATTGAACTACCTTATGACCCAGCAATTCCACTTCTGGGTATTTATCCAAAGAGATACACGACATAATTTGAAAAGCTATATGCATCTCTATGTTCATTGTAGCATTATTTACAATAGCCAAGATATGGAAACAACCTAAGTGCCCATCAATAGACAATTGGATAAAGTGGTTCATATATACAGTAGAATATTACTCAGCCATAAAAAAGTGAAATCTTACCATTTCAACAACATGGATGGACCGAGAAGGTATTATGTTAAGTGAAATAAGTCAGATAGAGAAAGACAAATACCATATGATTTCATTCTGTGTGGAATCTAAAGAACAATATAAATGAACAAACAAAACAGAAACAGAGTCATAGAAAGAGAACAAACTGATGGTTGCCAAATAGGAGAGGGGTGGGAGCTAGATGAAAAGAGAAAGGAATTAAGAAGTACAAATTAGTAGTTACAAAATAGTCATGGAGATGTAAAGTATAGCATAGGGAATAGAGTCAATAATATTGTAATATTGTCTGGTGTCTGCTGGGTACTAGACTAATGGGGGGATCACTTCGTAAATTACATAAATGTCTAACCACTATCCTATAAATCTGAAACTAATATAAAATAATACTGAATGTTAACTGTAATTGAAAAAAAAAATTTAAATAGAAAAAGGGACTAAGTGCTACATGGTGGCAGTACTACTTTAATTTAAAAAAAAAAACTGAGTGTCTTGTATATGATTCAGTATGATACTGATTCATTGTAATTACACCAAATCATGCTTTGTGGAATTTTATTTCAAAACTATTATGCACGTACCTTCTCTGTTTTCCTTTTTCATTAATTTTTTGTGTCATTTCATCATTTAATGTGTTGCATTTTTGTGAGTGTCTAATTTATTGTTTGACTTAAAGTTTTGTTTTACAAAGTACTGAATATTTTGCTTTTTCTTTTGTGGTAAAATATACACAACATAAAGTTTACCATTTTAACTGTTTCTCAGTTTACAGTTTAGTGGCACTAAGTATATTGACACTAGGGGGCTCATCCATCTCCAGAACTTTTTTCACCTTCCATAATTAAAACTCTGTGTTCATTAAACAAAAATTCTCCATTTCCTCCTTCCACTAGACCTCAGCAACCACTATTGTACTGCCTCCATAAATTTAACAATTCTATGTACCTCATATAAGCAGAAACATACAATATCTGTCATTTTGTGGCTGATTTCACTTAAAAAAATGTCCTCAAGATTCATCCATGTTGTACTGTGTGTCAGAATTTCCTCTTTTTTTAAGGCTGAATAATATTCTGTTTATCCATTCAGCTACTGGTAGATATTGGATTGAGTTTACCTTTTGACTATGGTAAATAACACTGCCGTGACTATAAGTGTACAAATAACTATTTGAGTCCCTGCTTTCAATTCCTTTGGTTATATACCAGAAATGGGATTGCTGGTAATTTTATTTAAAATTTTTTGAAGGCCCACCATACTGTTTTCTATAGTGGCTGCACAACTTTACATTCCTACCAGCCATGCACAAGATTTCAATTTCTCCACACCCTTGCTAACACTTGTTATTTTCTGTTTTTATTGATAGTAGCCATCATCATGGGTGTGAGGTGATTATCTCTTTGAGGTTTTGATTTGCATTTCCCTAATGACTCTTTTTAAAATTTTATTTTAGTATTAGTTTCAAGTATACAGTACATTGATTAGACAATTATATAGTATATGAAATGATCCCCCTGATTGTTCTTTCTCTCCTCTGGCTCTACATCTAGCCAATACATTAATGCTGACTACATTCCCTATGCCATGCTCTTCATCCCCACGACCGTCTATCAACTACTGATTTGTACTCCTTTCACCCTTCATCCCTTTCTCTTAGCCCCCCAACCCCTCTGGCCATCACCAGATTGCCCTCTATATTTGTAAGTCTGTTTTTGATTTATTTGGTTTTTTTGTTCCTTAGATTCTGCATATAAATGAAATCATATGGTATTTATCTTTCTCTGTTTAACTTATTTCAACCTAAATGCCCATCAACAGATGATTGGATAAAGAAGTTATGGTTCATATATAAATTGGAATATTACTCAGCCATTAAAAAAAGTGAAATCCTTCCACTGAGCTGCCTTACAGCCAGAAGAGATACAAGGAAATCATTAAGGAAGTTATCACCTATATTAAGAAAATTGGCTACAACCCTGACACAGTAGCATTTGTGCCAGTTTGTGTCTGCCACTCCAGGATGTCTACAAAATTGGTTGTATTGGTACTCTCCCTTTGGGCCAAGTGGAGACTGGTGTTCTCAAACCCAGCATGGTGGGCACCTTTGCTCCAGTCAATATAACAACTGAAGTAAAGTCTGTTGAAATGCACCATGAAGATTTGAGTGAAGCTCTTTCTGGGGACAATGAGGGTTTTAATGTCAAGAATGTATCTGCCAAAGATGTTTATGGCAATGTGGCAATGTGTCATGGCAATGTGGCTGGTGACAACAAAAATGACCCACCAATGGAAGCAGCTGGCTTCATGGCTCAGGTGATAATCCTGAACCATCCAGGCCAAATCAGTGCCAGGTATGCACCTGTGCTGGATCGTCACACTGCTCACATAGCTTGCAAATTTGCTGAGCTGAATGAAATGATTGATCATCGTTCTGGGAAAAAGCTGGAAGATAGCCCAAAATTTTTGAAATCTGGTGATATTGCTATTGTTGATATGGTTCCTGGCAAGTCCATGCGTGTTGAGAGCTTCTCTGACTATCTTCCTCTGGGCCATTTTGCTGTTCGTGACATGAGACAGACAGTTGCTGTGGTTATCATCAAAGCAGTGGGCAAGAAGGCAGATGGAGCTAGCAAGGTCACCAAGTCTGCCCAGAAAGCTCAGAAGGCTAAATGAATATTATCCCCAATATCTGCCATCCCAGTCTTAATCAGTGGTGGAAGAATGATCTCAGAACTGCTTGTCTCAATTGGCCATTTAAGTTTAATAGTAAAAGACTGGTTAATGATTACAATGCATCGTAAAACCTTCAGAAGGAAAGGAGAATGTTTTGTGGACCATTTGTGTGTGTGTGTGTGTGTGCGTGTGTGTGTGTGTGTGTGACAGTTTTTAAGTTATTAGTTTTTAAAATCAGTACTTTTTAATGAAAAAACTTGACCAAAAATCTGTCACAGCATTTTGAGACCCCATTATAAGAAATTTTAATGAGGAAAAAAAAATGAAATCCTGCCATTAGCAATGTAGATGTACCCAAAGGTTATTACGCTGAATGAAATAAGTCCCTAATGATTCTTAATGTTGAGTATTTTTTTATATGCCTATTGGCCATTTGTAGATCTTCTTGGAAGAAATGTTTACTCAAGTCCTTTGTCCATTTTTAAATCAAGTTGTCTTTTTTATTATTGAGTTTTAGGTGTTATTTTTATAATCTGGATATTACTCCTGATTAGATATATGATTTATAAGTATTTTCTCCTATGGATTGCTCTTCATCATCTTGATAGTGTCAACTGATGCACAAAAATTTTAAATTTTGATTTAGTCCAACTTACACATTTTTTATTTTTTACCTGTGCTTTTGCTATCATATCCAAGAAATCACTGCCAAATCCAATGTCGTAAAGTTTTTCCCTATGTTTTCTTCTAAGACTTTTATAGTTTTAGCTCTTACATTTTGGTATTGATCCATTTAGAGTTAATTTTTGTATATGGTGTAAGGTATGGGTCCAACTTCATTCCTTTACATACCCTCACCTCTCTATTGAAACTTCTTTTAAAGCTTCTTTATGACCTGTTGTTCTCTTAACTCCCAAGGTTTTTTTCTTAGTGACCGTAGCTATAAAAGTCTCTGATCTTTTTTGAATTCTTGTAGGCTTCTGGGAGAGGTTCACTAACCTCAGGCCATTCTCTCTGTTTTCATTTGAGGCCGTTGGCATTCATGTACACAAACCCATATCTGCCTCTCCACACTTCTCCAACCTCTGGCCTGCCTTATATCCTAATTTAGGATTAAGCTAATTTCTAAGACAGCAAATGAGAATATCCAATGCCTGTCCCTCTACTACCCAATGCTTTACCACAAAATAAAGAAATCTGACATTATTATATTCTCAGGATCTAGGCTTGTACCCTGTTACATACTTTTTAAGTCAAAATGAAAACACTAGGATCATCTTAATTTAATAACTGTAAACTTGATTTGCAATTCTAAGATTTGAATGTTTTCTATATAGAAATCAGCATGACACTGATCTGCTTGTAATGGCATTAAATCACACTACATAGAATTTTATTTCTGGGTTATCATGGATAACATTTCTCTCTGTTTTCCATTTTTTCTTGATTTTTTTACAACAAGGAAGTTTCTTAAGGGATTTGATTATCTTTATTTTGTATACCTCTTATAGTCTTATTTGTTTAGTTAATTATTTAAGTCTATTCTCAAGAGTGAGTTTAAATGTACATCTTTATATGGAAATCTCTCATTGTCTGAGAACGTCTTATAACACCCTCATATTTGAATAAAGTCTGACTA